TCTATTAGCCACATACGCTGTTCCCTCCGCGACGTGCCCTCGTCCTGGGTTAGGAATGTAATTAGTCAGACGGGCACCGGCACAATCTTGGCCGCCGATCGGTAAGTCCCTTCGTTACTGGTGATGCCTGTGAACGATGCCCCCGAGAATCCCGAGATTGCCCCGCGTATGAGATCGAGCGATTACCAGTCGTAAATACGCGCGCGATAATTAAAATTACTTACTGATTGCCTCTTCGAATTGCGCTTATGCGAGATGTTTCAGCCTAGCAGGTGCCGATCGTCGGAAAGTGAACGCCGCCGCTGCTTCTTATCACCTGAGCCTCGTATTTTGTCGTCAGTGAAAATTTCTCGCTGTAGCAAAATATCACATACAATTATTTTTATATAGCAAGGGGATCTAAAGTGCTGTTGTTTACGACGGATCTACCGGACTATCTACCTTGTTGGCATTGAGGGAAAAGTTGAGAATAACATACTGCCGACTTTTCTTCCCATATGCAGCAATGAACATTAGTATTTATATACATAGTATTTATCCGTGTTTTACATCGGAATTATCTTTGCTTATTAAAATCAAAGATTAAGGTGAAATGCAATTTTTTTTTTAATTGCTCCAAATAGAAACTTCTTTTCCTTCGAAAATTATGAAAAACGTTACATTTAATTATTATGCACAGCTGTAAAAATTATTTATTTCTTGAAGATATATTACTTGAGAAAAGTCGCAAGCTCTGACATTGTTGAAAGGAGAAGTTTGAGAAATGGGTTTGCTCGAAAGGATCAGCTCGTGTAGAAAGAGACGTGCGATGATACACAGCAGGGGACGCAGACAGGATTAGGGGAGACTGGGAACAGTTGTAACTTGTATGTTAGTTGTAATAATGCGTATATCTTTTAAATAATAAGAGATAAGATAATCATATGAAGAACAAAAATAATCGGTATCGAGGCCTGCGTTTGCCTCATGAGTGATCAATCGCGCGTACGCCGCATGTAAAAGAAATTATATGTAGGGTGCTCAGATAAGCCATGTAAGTGTAAATTTACGATGTTATACTTTTTCCCATGCATCTTTTTACGCCTTTTAAGTCGTTGTGGCTGTTCGTTTATTTGAAGTGTGGTTTAAACTGAACGCTAGTATAAAATTAAGAAATTGAATTTGTGCGATAACAAAAAGTATAAGATAGAATTTCTGCTCTACACAAGGTATCTCAAAAATTTACAGAAATAGTATGGATTGACACTTTTAGAATTATTTTTAATTGACGACTATTCAGATTAGGAAATTTGTCACAGCCACAAAATACTGCGATGCAAGTCACGCGCTGAGGTCACATTTTCATACGCTCTATGGCCGCGAATCCGTTGTAAGTATTTCTTATTGTAATAGATATTATTCACTTGTGTGCTTTATAAACGTAAATTCACTGTTTTGAAACAAATTCTTTGTTCTGAAACTTTAAAAACACAAATTATCTGTTCTGAAATACAAATTTACTGTTTTAAAAACATAAATTCACTACTTTGAAGGAAATTCTTTGTTCTAAAACACAAATTCACTGCTTTTTAATAGTAAATTTACTGATTTAAAAACAAAAATAATATAAGAAGATAATTTCTGTTTTGGAATAGATAATTTATTTTTAACCGAATTTGTATTTTTAGAACAGTGAATTTATATTCTAGAACAGATAATTTGTTTCTAAAGCAATGAATTTTTGTTTTAGAACAGATAATTTGTTTTTAGAACATGCTACAATTTTATCTAGCTCTGTTTTATTTTGCCCCAAATCGGAGCAAGATGTACTAATTCGAATTTTGATATTTTATTCATAAACAGCCTAAAATTACACCTTTTTGCAAATAGTATCATAAAACTAAATAGAAAGTTGTTGCGTCATATTAAAAGAACTAAACACATACTACAATACATAACGTTGCATTAAAAGAACTAAACATATACGTCATAAATAAAGAAATATACCTATGTATATTTCTTTATTCATGCTAATATTTTTCTAAAAATTGTTACAACTGTCCCCAGTCTCCCCTACGGGATTAAACATCATTTCACGAGGAATCGTCGGTAGGTACCGATTTTGTCGTCTCCTGTAAACTTCGCGCACGTTCCTACTGTAACAATAAGAACGGGTTCGCGAGCGATCTCAGAATTCTCGCGTCTCGGGTCGCGCCGGTGGCTTCTCTCGTGACTCTGCACGCTCGCACAACACGATATTGTAGTATTCAAATGGACTCGAAAGAAAGAAATAAAGAATAAGCTTCCTTCTTGTAAAAGCGTTCCGATACTATCTCGGGCTACCACTATCGCGCGTGTATATCTAATATGTCAGTGAGGTTCCATCTGTTCCTCTTCTTTTTAGTATCTGTCGCTCGATACCTTCATAAAACGAATGATATCGCATGTAGGAAAGAGAAAGAAAAGAAGAGAAGAACCCAGAAGATAGTTTTTAACGCGAGGCAATTTTAGGTAACACTTTTCGACTAAAGTATTTCTGTTATTAGCATAAAATCTGTGAGTTACTAAAAGTAACTAGAAGTGAGGATTTTATGACACTTGTTGACAGTAAATATCTTGTCCGAAAGAGAGAAAAGGTTTTTATTTAAATTAATTCGGAAAATATTGAAGAAGCTGTCTCATATCAGAGTCTACATTATACCTACTATTTTCTCTTCTTGCAGTCTGCTTGAAATTAATTCTAACTTGCAAACTATTGAGTATTGACGAGATTAAAAATTTTACCGTACAAAAAATATTGATATTGTAGGAGAGATTATTCGATGTGAATTTTTGTTATTGAAATGAGATCAGTGATCGTAGGACGCGTATTCGGAGAACGTTTACCAATCGGAATCATGGCAGGGAACAATATCGGGATGAACGAGCGACGCGCAAATCGCAGCGAGGCGCGGCAAAGCGCGATATTATCGTAGCAATTTCTGCCATGTCATTCGGCCCAGTAGGCCTTTTTACTAGCCATCTTATTACTTGCACAGCGGAGCGAAATTATAGATCCTCCAAAGTGCAAGAGGGCGATTATACCATTATATGTGCACGCGTTCTCGTCTTGGGTGTAGGTATGCAGTACATACATGGATAACGGTAACGCCGATCGTCTTGTCAGCTGACCTTAGGGATATATACGCGAGGTATACGTACGTGCGATATGTCCGTGGCCGTTTTGCTGCCATCCGTGCTCCACCACGCCCAGTCAGAGGAAAGGAGCACGGCCAGCATCATGTTCCGTGCCAAGATAACATCGATGTAGATTATCTCTAATAGTCGCGGATGCAAACTTTTTCCGGCTGAAAATATAGCATACGGTATTTTGGATCTATTCAAAATAAGATGACTAGAATTTCGCCGAAACGTATGTTACATGAAATATATTCGTAACGCGTGAAATGTAATTATTATTAGACGTTGG